ATCTACCCTTGAAACACTTCTAATATGTATACATATGTGTTTGTATTATGTATCATGCATTCAATCTATACATAATGGATGGGTTATAGATGTGTTATGTACATGTATAATACATGTGCTTTATACATAGCAGTGTTTTCTCAAATATTTGTATATAAGTATTCTGAATGCCAAAGGAGTGTAACCAAGAGCCTGGAAATGTACTTAAAAATTTGTGTCCTAACATGTATTTTTAAGCTTTACCATTCACCTCTTCTTACAACTTCTACCTATCCAGGCATCTAGTACAATTGCTGTGTGGCTTCATGCACTTGGCACCTTGCTACGGGCCCCAGGGTGAGAAACAGACACATATGGATTAGGAAGAACTTAATTTTTTTAGGGCCTTCTGAGAGACTTACAATGAAAAACTGGGACCTGGGTAATAAGAAAAGGGATATTATATATAATCTGAAACTATGCTATCGTGTTATTTTCCTAGTTTACATTTATTTTTGATGGATATTTCTCACAGGAATCTGAGCAATATAATGGTCAGGCCAGGTCAGGAAGGAAGTAAATATGTAGGTAATTTGTAAAAAAATAAACTGTTGCCAGGTGTGGAGAGAATGCCTGTAGTCACAGCACTTGGAAGGCTGAGGTAGGAAAGTTGCTGTGAGTTCAAGGCCAGCTTGGGCTACATAGTGTATTCAAGGTCAGTTATACTTGTCTCAAAAACAAAACAAAACAAAACAAAACAAAAACCTGTTTATTTTAGAATATTTTTAGCTTTACAGAAAAATTATGAGGCTAGTACAATGTTCCTACATGCCTGATACCCTATTTCCCAACTTATTTACATCGTGCATTAATATGGTATATTTGTCTCAATTAATAAACTTATATTGGTATATTATTATTTTTTGATACATTATTATTAATTAAAATCTATACTTTATTCAGATTTCCTATTTTTATTTTAGTTCCTTTTCTCTTCCACAGTTTTCTCTAGAACACAACATTATATTTAGTCCTCATGTCTCCTTAGTTTTCCTTGGCCGTGGCAGTTTTTTAGCCTTTCCTTGCTCTTGATGACCTTGGTGGTTTGGGGAAGTATTGGTCAGATTTTGTGGACTGTCCCACAGTTGGGGCTTGTCTGGTATTTTCCCCATGATTAAACTGAGGTTATGGGTTTTAGAGAGGAAAACCACAGAGGTCACCAGCCATTTCCACTTCATCAAGTTCAGGGACATGCTACCAACATGACTTACAGTGGTTGAGGTTGATCTGGATCATCGGGAAGTGTTTGTCAGATTTCTCCACTGGAAAGTTCCCACTCTTTCCCCTTTTCCATACTGTACCCCTTGAAAGGAAATACTGGTGTTCAGGCCACATTTAAAGAGTGGGGAGTTATGCTCAATTTCTTTGGCGGAGGAGCAGCTATCAAATTATTTGGAATTCTCCTGTATAGGGGATTTGTGCGTTCTTTTTTTTACATTAGTGTTGATTTATAGTTATTTTATATTTTAAGTTATAACTTGATACTACTCTATTTTGTTGCTCAAATTGTTCTAGCTTTGGCCACTAGGAACTCTTTCAGTTGGGTCTTCTGTCCTCTGCTATTGTCTGTATATGTGTGTATGTGTACTAGCATTTTCCTACTTTCTGGCCCCACGAGATGCTCCAGACTCATCTCAGTTGGTATTTTCAGAACAAACCACAAGAACATGAAGTATCTTCCTTTCAACATCTTCTTAGTTACTCTATTTCCAAGGACTATCTTGTTTATTTCCGGTGCAATCCTAAATGTGTGAGTTAAAGACCTACAAAAATCCGCATAATGAAATACCCACAATAATGAATTATTTTTCTCGGGGAAAAAGTAAGAAACAAGATGAACACACCTGTACTTACCCCGCCGCCATGTTCCCCCACTACTTGTCCGGCTGCGATGGAGGCAGCGGTGGGCGGGGCGCGCAGACGGGACCCTCCCTCGCGAGCTCCCTCCTTCGCCCCCTCCGCCTCCTGCAGCTACCTGGCTCTCCCTCGGGGAGGGTCCTATTGCCGAATTTTGACAGCTCGGTGCTTAGCGTGCAGCTCAGTGGTAGAGGGTGTGCTTAGCATGAGTAAGGCTCTGGTTTCATCCCCAGTACCTCGAAATCTAGACAAATTCGCTTTTTCTTTAATCACGCCTGGTGGTGAGTTATTACTGGAAACTTGCAAGAAAATAAATCCCAGACTTGGCTTACATTAAAAACATTTCTTTCTTGCTTTACTGTTAATTAATTTTCATGCATGTGAGAAGTAATTAATTTTTAAAAATGTATTTAATTGTGTAAGTACATATTTGAGGTGTATAATGACCACATTTATCATTGGGGACTGTTTGTGTACATAACACACCTTAATTAGTTTTTGTCCTCTTCCCCTCCACTCCCTCCAACCCTTCTTCCCCTTATTTACAAAAGCTCTATTTCTACTTTTTCCCTTCAATTTTTTTGTTTTTTCTTTAAATCCCCTTTCCCTTCCTTTGCTCCTCCTCCCCTCGTCTCTTGTTCTCTTCCCATTTGAAAAGTTCTTGCTACTTCTTAGTATCTATGAGAGAGGTTATTGATTTTCACAGATAGAGTAGACCACTGGGTTAGTTTTTATTTTCAGAGCTTCTTAAGGAATGTTAGCACTCCGAATTTGAAAAACAATCGCCTTTTAGACAGGAGGAAAGCTTACTGGGTCTGTCAACTCTTTATTCTTTTGGTGACTCCCAAAGGTATAGGAATGATTTCTGCAAATTGTTGTGTGAATCCTGTCTGCATGCGAGTATCCAGCTGCTCTGCCTGTCTGGGGGACTGCAGTTCTGTGAGCCCATCAGCTGTCTAACGCTGTAGAGCACCCATGATCTGCAGTCCTTGTGGAGGGTGCAGCCTTGTGGTGCGGTTTCTGTTGGCCAGGTGAGGAGGAGAGGCAGTGTTAGAAAGAGTCCCCACTTGAGGGTGTGCTGGCCAGCCCTGCAAGGCACCCCTTCCCGCAAGATGCTGTGGAGATGGTTAGCGAGACCTTTACCTGTGCAAACAGGGTTTGTCCCTGTCCAAGGCAGTTCGTTTTTCTGCTCCTCACTGCTGCAGTAGGGACAGCAAATTCTGCCCCTTGGGAAGAAGGGAGGTGAAAGAGAGGTCAACAGGAAAGTATCCGTGGTGCATGGTACTGGATGTTGTGCCAGGGAAAGGCCCAAGGGGTGCTCCTCACTTCTTTCCCCAAGGTAGGAAACAATTTTCCCTAGAGAAGTAGAAGCTTATTTCCAGAGTTTATTGCTGACCCAGAGAAGGTGCTGAGACACTAGCAGATTGCTGTGATCCTGGGGAACAAATGATTGATAGAAATTCCTTCCCTGTGTTGTTCTATGCGATCATATAGAAAGCTGTAGGACAGCAAAGACAATTTGAATTCTGAGGCCATTTTTGTCTTAAATGAATGTAACATTACAAGTGAAATGATAAAAGCAGTGTTGTTTTAAAATTTCAATAGCCAAAGGATAGGGTCAAGTTCATAGTTTTAAAAAAACCTGAAAGGAACTTGTCCATTGTCCAAATCCACACTTTTCACAAGTCAAAACAAAGGTGCAGGGAGGTAGAGGCTGGCATTTGCCCAGAATGCATGAGGCTGTGGCTTTGAACCCCAGCACCATCAAATATAATAAATAAATAAATAAACAAACATGAAAAAGGTGTTGGGGATAAAGTGTCTCTTTAAGAGCAGTGGCTGCTCTAAAGGTAGCCCGTATGTCTGTAACCACAAACTGCATCTACTGGAGTGCTCAAGTGAACATACAGCCTCAGAAGAAACCATTTGCAGATTCAGTTTCAGGACAAATCCTCAAGTTTTCTTCTAGGATTACTGACATTCCTGTGTGAACTCTGAACCTCAGATTTTGGTGGCACCCTAATTGTGGACTTCCAGCCTCCAGAACAGTGAAAATAAATGTTTCTACATCCATCTAGTGATTGTCACCCAAGGCAACAAAAACTAAGGCCCACTTGGTATTAGGTAGGAAAATGAATCCTAAAGCCACCCTTAGGCTGCAGCAGTTGTGTGTGTGTGTGTGTGTGTGTGTGTGTGTGTGTGTGTGTTTGGCAGTGGAATTGAGTCAGAGACCTCACCCAACCACTGAGCTCTATCCCCAGCCCCTTTTCTATTTTAATCAGAGAGGGGTTGCCACGAATTTTCCTTGGACTCGGATCCCCCTCCTTATCCTCCAGAGTAGCTGGGATTGCAGGAGTGTGCCACTGGGCATGGCTGAGATTGCACTACTACTAGGTCTGTGTAATACTTTTGTTGTTCATCTCCTTATTTATGGAAAGTAACAAATATTAGGGGAGGAAGCAGGAACATTTTTATGTAAGCAATAAATAGTTTGACATCTGTAGGCCCAAGAGATGGGTTACTGTGGTGTTTTGGCCAAAGCAGCCTTTGAGTCCGTCTGCCTCAGAGTGAACACAAATCCTGAGCAATGGGTTAAAGTAACAGGATTGCGGCTGTTGTCTTACTCTATGGTGGCTCTGAGTGTCTCATGCCACGCCCCCCCCCCAAGACTTTCTCCTCCTTCATCTTAAGGAGAAATGGATGAAGATCTTTGTTGTTTTTAGGAGTCACCAAGATGCCAGAAGAAGCCTGGTGCCCCGGGACCATGAGAATTGCCTTCTGCAGGCCCCAAACACTGTCAACTGGAGTCATCTTCCTGAGTGACTGGATCTTCACTGCCGCTTGCTCAGGCCCTGGAAGATCACCCCAAAGCACACCACCCTGGTTGTGCTGCTGCTTTCTAAACCTGGGGATGTGAGTTAGTGAAAAAACAGGATGAAATCCCTGAAAGAGATAAAGTCAATGAGATTGAAGAAAACCTGGGCAGCAGGAGAGAAAGGAGAGAAGCAGCACACTTTCTCTTCAAGAAGCACCATGCTACCTGCAAGTTGCAGAGAATACATTTCAGTCCTCTGCATGGCTCCTTTCAGCCTGCATCGAGAAGATGTGCTGGAGGAAGCAGATACAGAGAACAAGAATCTTTATTTTATTAAAAACAATAAAACTGTAGAACTATAGAAGTGGGGCCAACATCACACCACTTAGTGTGCTTAGTGGACGGGGTGTGGGGAATAAATCTCTGAGGGTTCTTTTGGGGTGGGTTTCCTTGGAGGTGGGAAGACTTTTCTTGGTTGGGGTTGCTGGTGGGCTGCTGACCATCACTCTCCTCCCCAGACACGTGAGGACTCTTTTCCGGAGCCGGCGGAAGGCCTGCCTCCAATTCACACAGGTTATGGTTTGTGTGTCAGATCCAGTGTCGTCCTCCTCTGACTCCCCAGAGGAGACCGAGGAGGACCACTCAGTGCTGATCTTCAGCATCTGCTGAGAAAAGGACAATGAGTTAGACAAGTCTAACCTCCCAGCAGTGCAGCCAGTGTTGACTCACTTATGGAACTCAGTTCCTTTTACTAGAAGTAGCCCAACTGTAAATGGCCAATTTCAAAGTCAACACTGAAGCAGAGACCCTCCAAAAACTTTTTTTGTTATTGTTTGTTTGTGGGCATAATGATTTGCCTTTGTCTTTCTTTCTACCCTCCATCTCTCTTTCAGTGCTCCTTGGTGTTTTCCCTACATCTCCTCTCTGACTCCTCTTTTTCCTGTCTTCCTCCCCCTGCGGATCCTGTCAGACACCTGGGGTCCAGCCCTGCTTCACAGAAGGCGTGTTGACCCAACACTGTCTAACCTAGCACCTATCCTGGTCCTGTCCCATCCTCTCCCGGGAGGCAGCTCTGTGCTCACCTCAGCAGGTTCATCTTCTGGGAGCATCGCTGGCATCTCTGGGACTTGGGTGACTTCTGTATTTCCTAGTGGTTTACAGGCAGGCAGGTCCTCACATGTACACTGTTCTTCACACAGGACCTGAGCTGGATGAGGAGGGGATCTGCTGCCCAGCTGGAAGTTTTCCTCAGGTGGATCTCGGAGCTGGAGGGCATCGTCTTTGTCATAGCCATGGCTTTGTTTATCAGCGTCCTGAGGCTCTTCATTGATTTGTATTTCTTCCTTCTCCTTGTGACTCTCACTGTTCTGTTTTCCCTTGTCCTCAGTGGAATCAGGTAGCCTGGTGTCATCAGATCTTTCATACACCTGGATTTGTGCATACAGCTCCACATACTCTTTTTTATTACTCTCCATGTCTTTGTTGTTCTTGATCTCCACGTCCTTTTTTTCTTGTTCAGTTGATCCCATTAGCAAGCCTTCATCTTGGTTTTCACCATTTTCAATTTGTTTATCAGCTTCCTTATCCTCATCCTCACTGCTTTTGCTTTCCTCCTTTCTCTCCTCCTTGTTCCTCTCTTCTGCTGCTTGTTCCTGAGTGAGTTTAGGACTGACAGGCTGAATTACTGGCCAGCCAGCCACGTGGTCAATCCGTTGCCCCCTGAATGTTGAATTCTTGTTTATCTGCTGGTCATTGTCAGTAACAATTTGATCAGCTCCTGCTCCTTTGCTGTCTGAGTCTGTGTCCTCATCCTCTTCAACGCCAGTATTTGGTGCACACACCAGGTTGGGGTTGTCCTTAGTGCGAGAGTTGTGGCCCATGTATCTTCCTAGACTTTGTGTGTCCTCTGGTTCTTCCACAGGGGGGAGGTTGTTGATTGAAGAACCCACAACACATCCTTCATAGAAGGTTGTCGTCTCCCGGCGACAGATGTAACCTCTGAAGGGGGTTTTGGTCTTTTGGTGAAAGGTGTGGGAATTAGGGAGATCACCCCTTGAGAGGCTCTCTGGGGAATTTATTTTCATATGAGACTTCTCTGAGTCTGAGCAGTCACTTCTGGGGTTTGGGTTCGCCATGAAATTATAGTTGTATTCTGTCTCCCGTCAAGTTCTGAGGCTTCAGAAGAAGAAAATGAAGAAAAGATGTTGGGGGAGAAGAACAGAGTCATGTACTTAAGTAATAAAAGAAGAATGTGTGGTCAGGCGCACGC